CAGGAATGCTTCCCAGGTTGACGTTTACAAGCGAGTGGTCCGCTCCAGTTATAAATGTGCCAAGTGGCCAGACTTCCACTGCTTCCCTTGAGAGATCGTTTCACAGCCCGATAGATCGCAGGGCCAGGAAGTTTTTCCCCTGATACAGCCTCACAGTCCCCAGCAAACCGCTCCCAATTTGTTTGCAGAAAGAAAGGTTTTGGGGGTTTGCTGCAAGGTTGTTTGTCCAATGCACAGAACAATACAACTATTGTGCATGTGTGTGGGGGTTTCTTTTAAACGACAGGTTCTAATGGAAACCATACACACAGAACTGCCACATGAACATTGGCAGCTGGGTGGTTCAAATGTACATTTCATCATCACTTGCTGCAATGAAAACAGATCCCCCGACACCATCCTTCTGCCTGGTGACCAAAAAAAGGACAAAACACACCACAGGGGCAGGTTGTGCTAGTCTGACTTGGATCCCACAAAAAACAGGACTGTGTAGCACTTTAAAGACTAACAAGATGGTTTATTAGGTGATGAGCTTTCGTGGGCCAGACCCACTTCCTCAGATTAAATAGTGGAAGAAAATAGTCACAACCATATATACCAAAGGATACAATTAAAAAAAAATGACCATGGGCACTCCTCAGAACCACTGCTTACGCTGCCTGGCGAAGGGGGTGGCCGAATCTGCCCCTTCGGGCTGGAACCGTGGGGCATCAGAGAGTAAACCAATGCCAACAAATGCCAAGAGAAAACTCGCCCCAAGTTCACTAGTGTCTTGCCCACAAATCCCTGGCTCTCTGGGCAGCTGTGTGTGACAGAGGTTGCCTTGCAAGTGCTAAAATGACCAGAGGAGCTAAAATCACTGTCATCCCTCTGGCTCTCCGGTGGCACCTTAGAGGCTCACCAAAACAGCTAGCTAGACTCATGAGCTTCCAGGGGCACAAGCCTCAGGTGGGAAGGAGGCGCTGGACTCCGGGTTGTTTTGAAAATCACCAGCAGAGAGTTTGAGCCAAGGGGAAAGGGCACTTCAGCAGGTTTGCAGCGTTTAGACGGGACTGAGAAGCAGAATTCACTGGTCACCAGGAACACCCCCCCCCCTCCTCCTCCTCCTCCTCCTGCCAGGGCTGTTGCAGGAGATTTTGGCCGGGGGGGTTTCTACAGTCCTACCCGTGGACCCCCCGACATCTGGGGACACTCACGTTTATTCTGGCTGCTTGGCACGGGCGGCTGGGCGATCTGCTGCGCTTGCCGCCTGGCTTTGGTCGTCCTGGGCTGCTCGCCGTGCGCCCCGGCCCCCACGACCAGGGCGAGGAGCAGCAGCGGCCAGCCCGGGCTGCTGGGCATCTTGCAAGGCGGGCGCGGAGAAGGGGCGCCGGGGAGGGACACTGAGGGCGGCTCTTCACGCTGCAAGCCCCGGGCAGGCCACTCGCATCGGGCTTTGCAGGGGGGCTGGTCCCTTGGCACGGCCGCTGCGGCTCGTTCTCCTCCTGCAGCCAGCGAGGGAGCAGCCGCTGCCTGCTTACGGGGGGTTTATATAGGGCCCGGCGCCGGGAGCCCCCTGCAGGGCGAACCCCGGGACACCCCCGGGCCGCGCTGATTGGCCCAGGCTCCTTGGTGACGTCATGGGGGCGTGGCTCCAGCCTCGAACAAAAGATGCGGCCCGGGGACGAGCGAGCGTCGCTCTAACTTCTCCTGGAAACTTTGCAAAGTTTGGGGCGGCGGCTCCAGGGCGCATCCCTTCCCCCGCGGCCGCTTGGCAACGCGGAGGGGGCTGAGAAAGGAGAGGGGAACCTGGCAGGAAAGTTAAATCCCCCCCCCTCAATTCCTCCAAGGGGCCAGGGTATGGCTGTGTATCCAGGCTGGGAGGTACAGTGAGAATCAGCCCAAAGGACAAATTAAAAAACGAGCCTTAAAAAAAAAAAAAAAAAGCTTGGAAGCGCTCGCAGCCTTGAAACTTCTTCACAAAAGGAATTAGAAACACACACACAAAACAGCCTCCCACACTCCTGGCAAGGGAGTTCCTTACCCAGGGGGTGGAACTCAGAGATTAAACATTTAGTACAAGGGAAATACTGCTTGGAGCATCCTTACACACTAGCCCCCATTTACCTAAATATCGATACCAAAAATTGGGGGAGCGGGACCACATAATTAGAAACCCACAGTATATTTCTTGCTTCCTTATCTACTCTGATATTAATGACTCAAGACAAAAGTCTTTCCCCACTTCCCTTGGAAACTGTGGTGGAATTTTAAACTCTTTGTACATAAACAAATCTCACAGTCCATATTTGGGAGGGACGACTTTTGGGAAGAGCTAGGAGTTCTAAAATCCTGCCCATTTTTTTTACCCCATCTTGACTTCTCTCTCACCCAATGGTTGAGATTCATGTTTCACTACCCAAGAAGTGTTCTTTTTATATGGTTTTCGGAGGGTGTGTCTAGACTACCTAGTTTTGTCGACAAAAGTGGACTTTTGTCGACAAAACTATACCAGCGTCTACACTACCGCTGAGTTCTGTCGACATAACGTCGACAGAACTCAGCAGTTTTGTCGACGCTGGTATACCTCATTTTACGAGGCATAACACCTTCTGTCGACAGAACTCTGTCGACAGAAGGTGTTATTGCCTGTAACATTGCGTCCAGACTAAGGAGTTCTGTCGACAAAGCAGCTTGCTTTGTCGACAGAACTTAATGTGTCTGGACGCTCTATGTCGACGGAAGTTTTGTCGACAGTATCTGTCGACAAAACTTCCGTCGACAAAACGTGGTAGTCTAGACGTACCCTAACATCCAAACTGCAAACCTGGCAATGTTTGCCTGGAGTAATACATATTTTGCTCACCAAAGACAGAATCTCTTCAGATAGAAGAGCTTGTGAATCTTAATTTCCAAAATGCGTTGTCTCGTTATAATTATTATCAGTTCCCCTGACTCAAGTCTTCAATATCTTCATAAGGTCCTTCCTCCTCTGGCTTCAGAGCCATCCTCCAACCTAGAGATCTTGGTCTGTGGCCATGATCCTTCACCCATGGGAGCTTGTGCCACTCCCCAGATTGCTAGAGATTAAGTCACCCCTTCATTTTTCCCCAGGGTGCTTCTTCACAGCCCCTGTTGAGCAACATTCAAAACCCAGCAATCACGCTTGGACCTCCTGCATGGCCGTGGGCACGCCACAAAACCATCATTGTAACCGTACGTAGCAACAATCCTTCCGCTCATCCATTGATAAGGCTGAAAACTTTTGCGAGCTGGGTGGAGAGCGAGCGGTGTAATTTTGTTCTTACACCCACCTCATCTGCTGGAAGCCTGGGGTTTGCGTAGGAAAACTGGAGCTGTTTGGGGAGCTGGAAAATCCACGCCCGAAAACCGAAGTCGGAATACCAGGTTGTAGTGCAACCCCCTCACCCCATCCTTCAGCTCTTGCGCCAGACCCCAGGGCACATCCTATTGTTGGGATGTGTTCGGGGTGACTGGAGCTATCCCAGCCACCTTCTTTGGTGGCCTGAGAGAGACCCTCTCGGGCAGCTGTTCCTCTTGCAGCCACTGCCAAGACGGTGCTGAGGTTTTCTTGCAATCGCCCATCATGCTGTGGATGAGTGTCAGTCAGGGTGACCAGGCAGGCATCCCAGAACAGTTTTGCCTTTATTTCTTACTTACCAAAGCCCAGATGCATACAGATCTGTAGATGCCTATTAACTCCCATTGAAACCAGCTGCTATAGGGGCTACCGAGCCTTCTTAGCCGAGTGATAATTCACCCAGGCTGGATTGATTCCTGACCTGTTCAGTCAGTTCATCTGATATGCATGGATGCTACATGCCACCAATTGCTCTCAGTTCGTTTGCTAAATTTCCAGTGATGGCAGGTAGGTTTCTGTAGGAAGATCAAGTGTAATGCAATGGAGAGGTCAAATACCATGTACAACTCCATACTGAGTCCTTTGCATATGATGATTTCCAGCCAAGGTTAGGGCAGCATTGTACTAAGCATTGTCCTGGAGACAGCATCGTTAAGGGCTGAGCTTCCCAGAAAGAATCCGGGCCAGGTCTGAAGTGCCTGTGGTCAGGTACAGCAAGTTGGAACACATCGCTGAATAAAGCAGAGTTCAGAATGATCACTCAACACCCTACTGGACATACCATAGGCTGTGCAGGAACATACTGTGCAGGGAAATATATTTGCATTCGTCTGCACAGGGACACTGTAATGAACCGTTTCCATGATGCTTGGAATTATTGGTGGCAGAAACTGGATCTGTCAAGCGTGGTAGGTGGGTGAGCCAAGGGGAGCGCGTCCCTGAATGGTTAACCGTAACCCTTCCCAGTCTTAATGGTTAGCACCAAACTATTTTGAGTGCTCCAGGACACATTCCTACTCCATGCACTCACCAAACTGGTGTGGCCATGTCAAAGGATGGGAACGGTCTCCTTTAAGCGGCACAAATCATCATAGTAAGGCATTTGATACGGTCTCTCATGATATTCTTATCGATAAACTAGGCAAATACAACTTAGATGGGGCTACTATAAAGGTAGGAGTATAACTGGCTGGATAACTGTTCTCAGAGGGTACGTCTACACTTGCTCCTTAGTTCGAGATAGGGATGCAAATGTAGCCAACTGAAATTGCTAATGAAGCGGGGATTTAAATATCCCACGCTTCATTAGCATAATCTTGCCCGCATGTTATTCCGCTCACCAGCTGATTCAAACCAGGAAGTGAGCTCTGGGAGGTGTTAGTTCGAATCAAACTGCTTGGTTTGAACTATAGTTACTCCTCAAAAAATGAGGAGTAACATTAGTTACTAATTGCTAATGAATCAGGGATTTAAATATCCTCATTTTTTATGGAGTAACATTCGTTCGAACCAAGGGGTTTGATTCAAACTAACACGTCCCGGAGCACGCTTCCTGGTTTGAATCAGCTGTTGAGTGGAATAACGTGCAGGAGAGATTATGCCAATGAAGCGTGGGATATTTAAATCCCCGCTTCATTAGCAATTTCAGTTGGCTACATTTGCATCCCTATCTCGAACTAGGGAGCAAGTGTAGACATACCCAGAGAGTAGTTATTAATGGTTCACAATCGTGCTGGAAAGGTATAACAAGTGGGGTTCCGCAGGGATCTGTTTTGTTCAATATCTGTTCTGTTCAATATCTTCATCAACGATTTAGATGTCGGCATAGAGAGTACGCTTATTAAGTTTGCAGATGATCCCAAGTTGGGAGGGCTTGCAACTGCTTTGGAGGACAGGGTCATAATTCAAAACGATCTAGACAAACTGGAGAAATTGTCTGAGGTAAACAGGATGAAGTTTAATAAGGACAAATGCAAAGTGCTCCACTTAGGAAGGAACAATCAGTTTCACACTTACAGAATGGGAAGCGACTGTCTAGGAAGGAGTACGGCAGAAAGGGATAGTGGACCAGAAGCTAAATATGAGTCAACAGTGTGATGCTGTTGCAAAAAAAGCAAACATGATTCTAGGATGCATTAACAGGTGTGTTGTGAGCAAGACATGAGAAGTCATTCCTCCGCTCTACTCTGCGTTAATTAGGCCTCAGCTGGAGTATTGTGTCCAGTGAAGTATTGTGTTCATGAGCTATGAAGGAAGACTGAAAGAACTGGGCTTGTGTAGTTTGGAAAAGAGAAGATTGAGAGGGGACATAATAGCAGTTTTCAGGTACCTAAAAAGGGTATCACAAGGAAGAGGGAGAAAACTTGTTCATCCTGGCCTCTGAGGATAGAACAAGAAGTAAAGGGCTTAAACTGCAGAAGGGAGGTTTGGGTTGGACATTAGGAAAAAGTTCCTAACTGTCCGGGTGGTGAAACACTGGAATAAATTGCCCAGGGAGGTTGTGGAATCTCCATCACTGGAGAGATTTTAGAGCAGGTTAGATAAATGTCTGTCAGGGATGGTCTAGACTCTAGATGGTACGGGGTCTTGCCATGAGGACAGAGGACTGGACTCTCAAAGTCCCTTCTAGTCCTAGTATTCTATGTTTCCATGATAAATGGGTAAAGCCCCAATTCTTTTATGATGAAAACAGGGATTTTTTTAAATGTGTCCCCCATTGTTGAGACCTTATTGAATGGGTTTCATCCCAGAATACATCTGTATTGCCAATTTGGAATCCCCTGACAATGGGGATTATGGGAGAGCATGGCCAGGATGTGATGCTATACAGCAACAATCACCTTATACCGAAGATGAACTTTCCCTCCATCCACACGGAACCGATCATGTTGCTGAGCTGACGGCAAACCAGAAAACAAATCTGTCACTTTAAGAACCCTATGTACATAAGGGGATATCACATGTAGTTATTTGTAGAGTGGTGGCACAAAGGGGCCCAATCAAGCATCAGGATGTCTTTTGTGTTAGGCACCGTACAGAACAGATAACAAAAGACCGTTCCTCCAGCTCCGCTAAAGTTAAAGTTAGGGTGATTACTCTGGGGAGACTGAAAATGTCTCTTTTGAGCAGCTGGGACATTTTCCAAAGGCT